GTGTGTGTGTGTGTGTGTGTGTATGTGTGTTTGTGTGTGTTTGTAGGTGTTTGCATGCACGCATTAGATCGCGTGTGGGCAAGATTCTTTCATCATATTAGCGTCGCATTTCGGTCAAGTATGTGCATGGCGCTGGACCCGAACTGAAAGACTCCTAATATGTAAAGTCGTACAACCTTTTCAGCACGTACTAACATTGGTACATTTCTTGTGTATCAGGTCACCTCAATCTGACCTTGAAATGTTGTTGTAACGGAGACTGGCACACTCAACAGGTCATGAACTTTCCATCACTCGACTGTAAGACTACTAGCCCTGTATTTGGGCATATACCTGTCTATTCGAACAAGCATGTTTATCAATTTAGCCACTTTATCTATTCTGCTATCTTTCTCTCTCCTTTTTTCCTTTGATCTTTCACAGTCTACTTGAGTGCAAATATTATCGAGCTTACAACTGTGTACGAGCCAAGAGTGTACCGATCTATGATGTTTCGGGGGTTCTCTCCACATGCCTTACTTCTCTCTCATCCCTCTTTTGTTCCTGCCGGTTTCTCCCCCTCTCCATTCACGAGAACAAGGTTATAATATCCTTTATAAAATACGTCTCTGTGCTTCAAGTAATTCATTTTCGTCCCCAGCAGACCCCCCCCCCCATTAAAAAAGGAAAAACGTTGCTTTGTGCGTCCCAGGGTTCAAACTGGTGGATAAGGGCATTTTTGGGAGGTTTATCTGTTGCTCTGGAAGCTACAGCAGACATCTACAAATATTGCGCGAGAGTGTCTGCACATAACGTATTCATTCATAGTGTTATACAATAGGGCATTTTTACATAAAGATTTCTTTTGCGCCTCCCATCCCCTGATCCTCGAGTTATAGTCTACTTCACCCCCCTCCCCCCACCCTCACCTAAAATCAGTTAACAGTGCATGATATCAAGGCGACCTACATGTGGCCCAAGGAGAGTGGTGACCTCGACTTTTACAAACCCTCCAGCCCCCCCCCCCCCCAATAAAAACCCAAACAGAACCCAAAAAAAACAACAAACAAATGAAATAACAACACCAACACGCACACACACACATATATGCCATTTTTGCTCTCACCCACTACTGAAAATGCCTTCATTTTGTGATGGATAGGCCGTTCTTCCAACCCTAAACGCAGTTTTCTTTCGCTCAAGTAGTTAAACACCGTGCCACAGGAAAACATGTTTATGTGCAACTTAAATTTAATTAAAATAATTAGTTTAGTGTAACTTCCAACAACCCAATGGTTATTGTTGTTTTTTTGTTGTTTTTTTTGGGGGGTGGGTGTTGGGAGAGGATAGTGGAACGTAGAA